CTCTGGAAATTGAGGTCAAGTCCTTTCCTCTATAGTGAAAGTGAACTAAAGCCAGAAGAAAGACAATTTACTTTGCCCACAAGTTCTTGCAAGCTATTGCTTTTACTCTGCATTTGTGAACCAGTCATTCTATTGCTTCTTGCAAGGAAATGGAAAACATCTGAAAAGAGTGAGCTATTGACAATTGGGAAATCCTCATGAGCGAAATGATTGTCACAATGAATCCTGTAGACAGGGAGCATTGAACCAACATGCACAAATTTCTTATTTAAGTTAAGGAAAAATTTGACTTTACCTATGAGCTTCACTCTATGACACCCTGGTCCAGAAAGATTTCCTGGCAATGGCAGTTTATTTCCCAAACCATTGCAGTTTAATTTTAGTGGCTGAAAATATTCCTTCACACACTGATTGTTCATATTCGATCACAGAGTAAAAATGTATAACAACATTGATAACTGCATTTAACAGAATGTTGGTGAGCTGTAGCAACACTTAGAGCAGAGACTGTGTCATTCTCTTTGGTTTGTTTGGAAGAGTCAACAGTTGTTTGCTTCCTGCAAACCTCTTGTTGAAAGCAATGTCCTCGCCTCGACTGCTTTCTGTGAGCATGAATTCCACCGGCTTACCACCTTGGGTGAAGACATTTCTGCTCATTTCGGTCCTAAACAGTTTAGCCTGTATTCTTAGATTTTGACCTTTGCTTTTGGACTCCACCACCATGAGGAAGATCCTACCTCCATCAACAATGTCCAGTCCTGTTTGAAAGTTATTTGTCTCTGAGGTCACCTCTCTAATATTAAGAGAAAGACTGGGAGGCGGTTGCTACCTTTTGTTCAGAATGGAGCTAACTCATCCATGAAGCTGTCTTTGCCTTTCACACCCAGTCTGTTATTGATGAGGCAGAGCAGTGGCACAGATGCCAAGAAAAGAAGCAGATGTTGCTGTTTGCATCCCATGACTTCATGGAATATTCTGCCTCCTGAATCCAAAGGCTGTCTTCAGTCAGAAGGAGAACCGAAATTCACGACTGAGGAGACATCATCCTTGAATTGACAGATTGCCCCTCAGCATTGCTGGTAATGTGCAGCAGACAGCATGCACGGTCACCCTGGACCAGGAGGAGGCGATGATGTGAATTTCTATCCAGTACTAACAGTGATGGATTTTTATAACTCCTTTCCCAGTGTGTTTGAAAGGGTGATTTTTTACACAGGAAAGTCAAACCAAGAGAAATGTTTGTTTCCTAATGTTTATCCCTGGTCCACAGTGATTGAATTTGCAAACTTCTTTTACAGGATGCTCTAGGAGGCTGCACAGAGCGATCATCTGCTCCCTGAATATTTCCTCAACTGTCAGATTTTTCTGCAGTGCTTCTGATACCTTTCCAGTTGCAAGTTCCAGCAGGAGATTTTCAAATTGAAACACGAGGTCGTTTCAGAGGTGAGTCGTTCTGACCATTCGTCTACGGTTTTGATATTTTAGTTCTGTGCTGCTGTGTCTCTGAGAGGTTCCGTGTCTCTGGAGCTGGTGTGGCTCCTTTACTGTGGATCTGAATGTGTGTTCATTCATTGTTCTGTTTCATCTTTGCCTGATCACAGTTGTCTTACTTTCTTGGAAACTTGCTCTGCGTGTTTTCTTGTGAGGTTTTGCATTTTATTCTCAGTTATGGTGACTGTTTCTGAATGCGGTTCCTATTGCTGCCGATCCGTGACACAAGATCGACTAGTTTATGGGGAGAGAAATCAGTAGCTGAGTACATGTGACATCACAGGGATTGAGACTATCACAACCGTTAAAGGATAAAGAGACAAAAAGAGAAATTACTGGAGAAACTCAGCAGGTCTGGCAACATCTGTGGAGAGAAACCAGCGTCCACGTTTTGAGTGCAGTGACCCTTCATGAGAAATCAGGGATGAGATTTCACAACTTTGGTAAACTAAAACAAAGAACTGTGGATGCTGGCTATCTGAATCAAAATTAATTCTGAATAAGGGGCACTGGACTTAAAACATGAACTCTGTTTTCTCTCCACACATGCTGCCAGACCAGCTGAGTTTCTGCCGTGGTTTCTGTATCTATTTTAAAATTTTGATCCATTTTCAGCAGGAGCGTATGCTGATCAGTGAGCACAGTGGTCTGATGGGTGGACAAAACTCGGTGTGAATAAGCAAAAGGGAGCAGTATTTTGGATGAGCTCAAGATTACAGGGAGGTTGATTGTGGGAGACATTTTTAAATGTGTGTGTGTGTTTGTGTGCGTGCCTGGGTGAGAGAGACAGAGATGGAGGGTGTGTGTGTGTCTGTGTGAGAGAGACAGAAATGGATCAGTCTCTCGTGTGTGTGTGTGTGTCTGGGTGAGACAGAGAGAGATGTAGGTCGTCTTTCTCTTTGTGTGTGTGTGCGCGTGACTGGGTGAGACATTGACATGGAGGTATACTCTGTGTGTGTGTCTGGGTGAGAGGGAGTGAGATGGAAGTTGTGTGTGTGTGTGTGTGTCTGCGTGAGAGAGACAGAGATGGAGGTAGTTTCTCTGTTTGTGTGTGTTTCTGTGTGTCTGCGTGAGAGAGACAGAGATGGAGGTTTTTTCTTTCCGTGTGTGTTTGTGTGAGAGAGAGGTTTGGAGGTAGTCTGTGTGTGTGTGTCTGTATGAGAGAGACGGATGGAGGATGTCTCTCTGCGTGTCTTTCTGGATGAGAGAGACGGATGGAGGTCTTCTCTGTGTGTGTTTCTGTGTGACAGAGATGGATGGAGGTAGTCTCTCTGTGTGTGTCTGTGTCGGAGAGAGGGATGGAGGAAGTCTCTCTGCATGTGTCTGTGTGAGAGAGAGGGGTGGAGATTGTGTCTGTTTATGTGTCTCTGTGTGAGAGAGGGATGGAGGGTAGTCTTGTGTGTATGTGTGTGTGTGTGTTTGTGTGTGTGTGTCTGTGTGAGAGAGAGGAATGGAGGTCATCTGTGTGTGTGTGTGTGTGAGAGAGAGAGTGGGATGGAGGTAGTCTCTGTGTGTCTGTGTCTGTGTGGGAGAGGGGGATGGAGGTACTCTGTGTGTCTTTGTGTGTGTGTCTGTCTGGTAGGGAGGGATGGATGTAGTCTCTGTGTGTGTGGCTCTCTGTGAGAGAGAGGGATTGAGGTAGTCTCTCTATGTGTGTGTCTGTGTGAGAGAGAGCGATGCTGGTAGTCTCTCTTACTGTGTGTCTGTGTGAGAGAGAGGGATGGAGGTAGTCTGTGTGTATGTGTGTGTGTGTCTGTCTGTCTGTCTGTCTGTGTGGGAGAGAGGGGGATGCAGGTCATCTCTCTGACTGTGTGTCTGTGTGAGAGAATGACCGATGTTGTCTCTCTCGGTGTGTCTGTGTAGTTGAGAGGGATGGAGGTCGTCTCTGAGTGTGTGTGTGTGTGTGTGTGTTTGTGAGAGAGAGGGATTGAGGTAGTCTCTGTGTGTGTCTGTGTGAGAGAGAGGGATGGAGGTAGTCTCTCTGACTGTGTGTCTATGTGAGAGAGAGGGATGGTGGTAGTCTCTGTGTGTGTATCTGTGTCGGAGAGATGGATGAAGGTAGTCTCTTTGTGTGTGTGTCTGTGTGAGAGAGAGAGAGGTCGTCCTTCTGCGTGTGGGTGTCTGTGTGAGAGAGGGATGGAGGTAGTCTCTCTGTGTGTCTGTGTGAGAGAGAGGGATGGAGGTAGTCTCTCTGACTGTGTCTGTGTGGAAGTGAGGCTTTGTGGTTGTCTCTGTGTGTGTGTGTCTGTTTGAGAGAGGGAATGAAGTTGTCTCTCTCTGTGTGTCTGTGTAGGAGAGAGGGATGGAGGTAGTCTCAGTGTGAGAGAGAGGGATGGAGGTAGTCTGTGTGTGTCTGTGTGAGAGAGAGGAATGGAAGTAGTATGTGTGTGTGTGTGTGTATGTGTGTGTGGGAGAGAGGGATGGAGGTAGTCTCTGTGTGTGTGTATCTGTGTTAGAGAGGGGGATGGAGGTCGTCTCTCTGTGTGTGGCTGTGTTAGAGGGATTGAGGTAGTCTCTCTGACTGGATCTGTTTGAGATAGAGGGATGAAAGTTGTCTCTGTGTGTGAAGTCTGTGTTTGAAAGAGCGATGGAGGTAGTCTGTCTGTGTGTGTTTCTGTGTGGGTGAGAGGAAAGGAGGTAGTCTCTGTGTGTGCGTCTGTGCGGGAGAGAGGGATGGAAGTAGTCTCTCTGACTGTGTGTCTGTGTGAGAGAGAGGGAGGTAGTGTGTGTGTGTGTATGTGTGTCTGTCTGTGTGGGAAAGAGGGGGATGCAGGTCATCTCTCTGACTGTGTGTCAGTGTGAGAGAACGACCGATGTTGTCTCTCTCAGTGTGTCTGTGTAGTTGAGAGGGATGAAGATTGTCTCTGAGTGTGTGTGTGTGTGGGAGCGAGGGATGGAGGTAGTCTCTCTCTGTGTTTCTGTGAGAGAGAGAGGGATGGAGGTAGTCTCTGTGTGTGTGTGTCTGTGTGGCAGAGAGGGTTTGAGGTCGTCTCTGTGTGAGAGAGAGGGATGAAGGTTGTCTGTGTGTGTGTATCTGTGTGGAAGAGATGGATGGAGGTAGTCTCTCTGTGTCTGTGTGGGTGAGAGGAAAGGAGATAGTCTCTGTGTGTGGGTCTGTGTGGGAGAGAGGGATGAACTACGAAATTTGAGACCAGTGAATCTCAAGTCAGTGGTATGGAAACTATTGAAGAATATTCTGAAGGAGCGAATTAATACCCACTGGAAAAGGCATTTTTAAATTAGGAATAGTCAGCATGTCTTTGTCAGAAGGAGGTCATGCCTAACAAATCTGTTAGAGTTTTTTTTTGAAAATGAGATCAAATGGACAAGGGAAGTTAAGTTGATGTAGTTTCTATGGATTTTAGCAAAGCTTTTGAAAAGGTCCCACATGGGAGTCTGATTAAGAAGGTTAAAGTATGTGAAAATGAGGGAAACTTGGTGAAATAGATCACAAACTGGCTCAGTAATGGGACACGAAGGCTAGTGTAAAAGGATGTTTGAGGCTGGTGTCCAGCAGGGTACCACCAGGATCAGTTCTTGGACTCTTCTTGAATGTATTGCACATAAATGAAAAAGATAAAAATGTGGAGGTAATATTACACAAATTTGCAGATGATGCCCAAATTGGTAGAGTGGTTAAAACTGAAGAAGATTGTTGTAGGTTACAGGAAGATAGATATGGGTTGGTCAGATGGCCAGACCAGTGGCACATGGTAATTAACTCTGATAAGTGCAAGGTGATGCTCTTTTGAAGAAGAAAGAAGATGAGAGAGTACTTAATGAATGGCAGGCCGCTGGGTTGCTTAGAGCAAGAAACAGATCATGGGGTAATTATTCACAGATCCTTAAAGTCGTCAGAGCAAGTGACCAGGACAGTTAAGAAGGCATCTGGATAACTTGCTTTCAGCAGGCATGGCATAGAGTACAAGAGCCAGGAGGTAATGTTGGAGTTGTACAGAATGTTAGTCACCTCACACCTGAAGTACTCTGTGCACTTCTGGTCATCTCACCAGAGGAAGGATGCAACAGCACTAGGGTGAGTACAGAGGAGGTTCACCAGGATGTTGCCTGGGATGGAGAAATTGTGCTTTAAGGAGAGATGAGATAGACTTGGATTGTTTTCTTTAGATCTTAGGAGAATAAGGGGGTCATGAGGTTTATATTATGAGGGGTATAGGTCTGGTCAGTAGAGAGCAGCTGTTCCCCTTGGTTTAGGGGTCAATCACAAGAGTGCAGTTTTAAGGTAAGGAGCATTTAATTCTGGTAGAGTTGTGAAAAAAAAAACGTTTTCACTCAGCTGGAAGTGGGAATCTGGAAAACACTCTCTGGGAAGGTGGTGGAGGCTGGAAATTGTTAGAAGTTATTTGGATGTGTATTTCAAATATAATAACTTTCAAGGATACGGGATAAATGCAGGAAATTGGGATTACTGCACTTTTAGTGTAGTTATGTCAGTGCAGAGCCATTGGGCCGAAGGGCCTCTTTCACAATGAATAAATCTCTGAATCTATGAG